CTATGAAAATTAGAAAACATTATTGAAAGAAATTAAAGAAATAGAAAGACATCTGTGTTCATGGATTGGAAGACTTAATATTGTTAAGATGGCAGGACTCCCCAAATTGATATACAGATTCAACATAATCCCTATCAAAATTCCTACTGCCATTTTCAGGGAAATGGGGAAAATGATCCTAAAATACATATGGAAATGCAAGGTATCCAAAATGGAAAAAAAAATCTGGAAAAAGAACAAATTTGGAAGATTCACATTCCCTGCTTTGAAAACATAACTACAAAGCTACAGTAATCAAGATAGTGTGGTATTGACCTAAGGCCAGACATGTAGGTTGATTGAATAGAATTCAGAGTCCAGAAATAAACAAATAAGTCCATGATCAAATGATTTTCTATAAGGGTGCCAAGACAATAAAATGGAGACAGAATAGTGTTTTGAACAAATGGTGCTGGAAAAAGATATCCACATGTAGAAGAATGAATGTGGAGCCCGACCTCATATCATATACAAGAATTAACTTAAAATGGATGAAAGATCTAAATATAAGAGTTACAATTATAGGGGTGCCTGGGTGGTTCAGTCGCTTAGGCGTCCATCTTCGGCTCAGGTCAGGATCTCGCAGTTTGTGAGTTCGAGCCCCGCATCGGGCTCTGTGCTGACGGCTTGGAGCCTGGAGCCTGCTTCATATTCTGTGTTTCCCTCTCTCTCTGACCCTCCCTGCTTGCACTCTGACTCTCTCTGTCTCAAAAATAAATCAATACTAAAAAAAAAAAAAAAAGAGCTGAATTTATAAAATTCTTAGAAAACATAGGTGTAAATCTTTGTGAATTTTGCTTTGGCAACAGTTTCTTAGATATGACACCTAAAACACAAGCAACCAATGAAAAAATAGGTAAGTTGCACTTCATCAAAATTAGAGACTTTTGTGTGTCAGAGGTCAATATCACAATAGCAAAAAGATAATCCACAGAATGGGAGAAAAATTTTGTGAGTCATATGTAATAAGGATCCATAATATGCATAAAAACTCTTAAATTCACTAATGAAAAAGACACCTAGATTAAAAAACAAGCAAAAGATTCAAATAAACATTTCTCCAAAGAAAATGACCAGTAAGTACCATGAAAAAATTCTTAACATCATTAGTCACTAGGGAAATGCAAATCAAAACCACAGATAACCACTCATACCCACTGGAATATCTATAATATTAATAATAAAGAATTACTGGTAAGTGCATTGTTCAGGGTTCTCCAGGGAAACAGAACCAATAACAAATATATATGAGATTTATTGTGGGAATTGGCTCACATAGTTATGGAAGCTGAGAAGTCCTACAATCCATCCACAAGATGGAAAACCAGAAAAGCCAGTGGTGTAATGCAATTTGACTCTAAAGGTCTGAGAACTGAGGGGCCACTGGTGTAAGTTCTGGAGTCCAAAGGCCCAAGAACCAGGAGCCCCATTGTCTGAGAGCAGAAGATGGATATCCCAAGTCAAAAAAGAAAGAGAAATGGTCTTCCTCTGCTTTTTGTTTAATTCAGGCCCTCAACTGATTGGATGATGCCCACCCACATTGGTGAGGATGGATCTTCTTTATTTAATCTTCTGAATCCCTAGAAACATCCTGACAGGTACACTCAGAAATCATTTTACCAGCCATTTGGGCATCCCTTAGCCCAGTCAAGTTCACACGTAAAGTTAACCATCACAGTAAGGATGTAGAGAAATTGGAACCCTCGTATGGTTGCTGGTGGGAATGTAAAGTGATGCAGCTGCTGTGAAAAAGCTTGTCAGTTTCTCAAAAAGTTAAACATTGAGTTACCATAGGACTCAGAAGTTCTACTTTTAGGTATATATCTGAGAATATTGAAACACGTGTCCACGCAAAAACTTGTGCACAAATGTTCATAGCATTTTTCAGAGCCAACAAGTTAAAACAATCCACATGTTTATCAACTCGTGAATGGATAAATAAAATGTGGCATACCTATACAATGAAATATTACTCAGCAATAAAAAGGAATTGAATAATGATACATGCTACAACATGGATGACCCTTGAAAACATTATGCTAAGTGAAGAAAGCCAGTCACAAAGGCCGTATATTGTATCATCCCACTTATATGAAATGTCCAGAATAGGTAAATCCATAGAGACAAAAAGGAGATGAGTAGTTTTCATAAGGAGGAGAAGGGAGAATGAGGAGTGGCTGTTAACCAGTACAGTACTGTGTTTCCTTTTGGGGTGATAACATTCTGGAATTAGGTAGTGGCGGGAGTGCACAACCTGTGCCTACATTATAAGCCAACGAATTGGAAAACACACAGGGGAATTGTATGGTATAAATTGTATCAGTTTATAACATGGCTAGATTGGAAGATTCTTATCCTCAGGATACTTTTAAGTATATAAAGAATATAAGTCACATTCTGTGAGGAGGGCTTAGTCACATGGCTACCCCTAGTTCCAAGGGCAAGGGGTGTGCTTCTGAAGCATGTAGCCCTCCTACAGCTCTGTCACCCTGGAGGACAGGGGTAATGGGTTTTTGTAAACAGTTGGCAATCTCCATCACAGTGGCAAAGCTGGCAAAATTGGAACCTAGGTCTCGGTGTCCTGGTCCAATTTCTTTTTACCCTACCATCTGTTTCTCCAAGGAGACTGATTTCATAAGTGTAATCAAGCAAGCTGCTGAAAATAGACTTTTTTGAAACTAAAATAAGATTTGTCTGCTAACAGAGGGACTGAGTAGCCTAGGAAATGACTAAGCATTTATCCTTCTTATGTGCAAAGGCTGTCCTCTTTAGGGAAGGATGCAGGAGTATATACATACAGGTCCAGTTTTGAAAAGGAAAGAGGCAATTCCAGGGATTTTCTAGGGAAGTGCGATTGTACAACGTCCCGTCAAGAAGCATAGTGGGCAATGGCCTTCTGCATCTTTATGAACAAAGGTGTCATTCATTAGCCCTGATCGGCATCCACTGATTTGGGTAAACCCAGATCCACAATACTAGCGTGAAACCGTCTGCCTGTGGTGTCCACTGCACTGTGCCAGAGCCGGAGCACTAGAGTCTCGATTATCCTCCTTCACACCAAGTTCAGATGTGACAGGCCACTAGTTAGGGCTTGCCTAGTGCCATTTGCCTTTCGTTGCTAGCCCTAAGGGGTAGGCAATCCTGCATGCTTGTAAACAAAGTTTTTAAGTTTAAAAATTCTCAAAGATTGTAAATATTTACCTGTTAAACCAGAAAAGATAAACTACAGCGAGGAAATTGTTAGAATAGATAGACCAAGATAAATATATCTTGCAAGTATAGTTCTGAAAATTGAAATAGAGACTGGAAATTCAGATGTTTGGGGGGACCAGGCAGGTATTTTAAATGCATGGGAGTATGGCTATTGGGAATTGTGGCAAAATGGAACATATAAACCCTGACTTAAGACATTAAATAACATCCAAATAAGAAACAAAAAACACCTGCTTCAAAACAAAACAAAACAAAAAACAAAACAAGAACCCCTGCCTCTGGGCCAATTAAAATCTGTGTGGGGCAAAGGTCAGCTTGGGGGCCACCAATTTATAGCAACTCTTGACTGGAATCTAATATAGCAATATGCAATAAGGAGTCCAACATTTGTTGCATAAAGAACACAAGAACATAAAATGTTCTTAGCTCCTGCATTTAAAGAAACAAAACTGGAAACCATTCAAAAGCCTAATAATTGAGGAATGATTAATCACACAGTGGTAAAACTGTATAGCCATTTAAAGCACAGCGATGCTAGCCAGTGTGGGGCATGGAAATGTACACATGTGAAAACTAAGTTACACTAAGTTACAAATGTATATGTTACCACATGTGTTAACAAAGATTGGAAAAGAATTTGGAGCAATGTAAATAATTGGATGCCCCGAGATTTTTTTTCCCCCTGAAAAGAAGCTTAAATTCACCATGAAGAAAAAGAAAATCCAAGTTACCGCTACCAAGGCTATGAGTACAATATCTAGGTGTCCTCTGAATTCGATCCAGTTAAGCACAAGCGTGACTATTTCATAGGTTATGGCTTTGTCCTAGAAGTTTTCTTTTTTGCCGGAAAGAGATAATTTCCTACTCTGGTTATACACTGATATTTTGTTCCCACTTCAGAATTCTGTTTTTACTTCTTTCTTATTTATCTTTCCTGTTTCCTATTTAACCTCTTTCCTATTTTACTTCTTTCCTACTTTATAAATGTGGATCCTAGGAAAGAGTCCAGTCCCACATTGAATGGTCTCCCACTCCTAGCCCCTGCAGTCCGTTCTTCTTTCAGTCAGTAGTGTCTTCTTGTGGGCATGCAAATCTGGTCACTTCACCTGTCAGCATACAGGCTTTCCGTGACTTCCAGTTGCCTCTAGGGCTCACACCAAAATCTTCCCAGGTCTGATCCTGGAATCTCACTGGCCTCTCTTCCATTGCTCCGGGCTTTTTGCTCTCTGGCCACCCTGGCCTTTCATTCTGGGCCTGTGCATTTTCCCCTCACTACATGCATCCTCTTTGGCTGCTAGGTTCTGTCCTCTCTCTTTTTGTCTTCTCCTTTTTCTCAAATGTTTATTTATTTTTGAGAGAGAGAGAGAGAGCGAGCAGGGGAGGGGCAGAGAGACAGGGGCAGTGGCAGAGGAGCGGGGAGAGGCAGAAAGAGAGAGAGGGAACGGGTGCCTGGGTGGCTCAGTTGGTTAAACGTCTGACTTCAACTCAGCTCATGATCTCGTGGTTCGTGGGTTTGAGCCCCACGTCAGGCTCTGTGCTGACAGCTGGGAGCCTGGAGCCTGCTTCGGATTCTGTGTCTCCCTCTCTCTCTGCCCCTCCCCTGCTCGTGCTCTGTCTCTCTCTGTCTCTCAAAAAATAAAACGCTTGCACACAACTTTAAAAAACACCCTCAAGCCTGCTGTTTTCTCAGACCTAAACACTCACATCGAACAATAACACCTGTGCTTCAATGCTCTCCCCTGAATCAGGTGATGCAGGCGCAGTGTGTCAAAATAGAGACTGAATTCTACCGCCGCAGTCGCAGCGAGATAGTGGATGGAAAAGGACACACCATGGGCGCACTTTATTGGCAGCTGAATGATATCTGGCAGGCTCCCTCCTGGGCTTCCCTAGGTAAGTGTTTCAGCATTCGTTGTGCATGTGAGAGAAAGCAATACCTGTGTGGAGAGGCACTGAGAAAGCACAGGGCCTGAGGGGTCAGATTAACCCAAGTAGAACCCCTTCGCAGGGGAGGGGAGGTTCCCCAGTAGCCTATGAACCACCCCGCCCCCCTTCCTAGTCTTTCAGGGGAGCCTCAGAGGCAGCCCGGTTTGAGTTCTGGGCTGTGCAAAGTCACAAAAGCGGGCTAATCCAGGGGGTAGATTCATGCATGAAGATCTCAGCCATGTGTCTCATCATTATTGCTTAAAAATTTGAATTTAATTAGGAGGACTTTCCAAGCAAAAGAAGTATTTACTTAAGAATCTTTTCTTCTAAATTATTTAGACGAATTCAACCATGTGGAAGGCTGGCCCAAGTAAGTGTTAGAATATCCTTTTCCTAGATTCTCCTTTAAGCACCGCCCCCCTCCCCCCCCCACTTAAGACTTCCAAGGTCTTATTTTTGCCTTATTTATCTCTAGGAGAAAGGTAGTAGAGTCAGAAATCCAAGTAGGAAGAGTTATCAGTTGAACCCTTTTAGTTGGCAACACATATGACTGGCATGGTGCCTGCAGTTGAATTATTCTGTTTTGATACATTTTTTAAAAGTATGGAGTAATAATGATTCTTTGGCGTTCACTAGAGGTGGTTTGAAGCAAAGTTCAGTCAGAAATATAAACAAATGTTTTGGGTCAAAAATGAGGCAAGGCCATAAAGTAAAAAAGCCACTTTGCTGGGGGAGGCTCTTAAATTAGCTGTAGAAGTAAATCCAAACGAGACCATTGCCTGCATGCTTTGATTAGTGCTGAATCACCTCTTGCAGGAAATTGGAGTTTTGATCCAGTTTCTCTGACCAAAGTCTTTATCAACACCAACCAGATAAAAGAGTATTGAATGAGAATCAGGGGTAGACGCAGGGGGAGTAGCCTTTCTGGGACGCTTAAAGCTGGACAAAGAGATATTGTTCAGAGACACTTAGACCCTGACCCTGCCTTCTGTATGTGGCTGAGCTTGTGGACTCCTGGAGCAGAGTTTAGTTCAAGAACTGGAGGAGTCCAGTCTTTGTAACTCTTCCCTTAAACGACTGCATGCAGATTCTTTGAATGAGTTCTTTAGAAAGGGTGACTAAACCCAAGTACAGGTGTATGATGGCAGAGCAAGAATTTGTTTTCTAAACTCTTGCAGGATGGTGCCTCCATGGAGAGGCTCACCATCTTCTACCCGTTACCGAAAGCAAGAGCCTGGGAGAAGGTGTGACAGGTTATGCTGTGTGTGTTCTTGCTGTGGGCAGCCTCATTGCCTCTGTTTAATTCTGCTTCAATGGCTCAATAAATCTGGTGTGCAGGTGGGGTAGGGAAAAGTATGTGTCACCTTTTATCACCTGAAATAGCGATACCTCAAAGGTATCATAGCTGCTTGGAACCGAAAGATTCTTACATATTTCCTTTTAAAAAATAAGCCTCATTTTTAGTTACAATTTTGCAAATACAGAAATCCACCTGGACATTGTATTTTGCTTGGCTCATCAACTTGGACAGTTACAGAGCTAATGGAAAAGCCAGAAATCACATAGCATTTTTAGCTGATTATGTAGGATATTATATTGGTATCCATACTTTGTCACTGATTAGCAACTAGTGTGTGTCCTAGTGAGACCTTTTCTTTCCATTGCTGTTCTCCTGTATTCTGCGTGTGACCATGAAGTTAGAACTGTGCACGTGAGGTCTCCCCTGTAATGGATACCACATGTGAGAGTGTGCAAGTCACCTCAGGTCTGAGCCATCTTCCATTTATGAGAAAGCTTTCCAAATACAGTTGACCCTTAAACAACATGGGGTTGAACTGTGTGGGTCCAGTAATATTAGGATTTTTTTTGTAAATACAGTACAGTACTATAAATGTATTCTGTCTTCCTTATGACTTTCTTAATATTTTCTTTTCCCTAGCTTGCTTTATAGTAAGAACACAGAATATAATATATACAATACACAAAATATGTGTTAGTTGAGTTTATGTTATTGGTAAGGCTTCTGGTCAATAGTAAGCTATTAGTAGTTAAATTTTGGGGGAGTCAAAATTACACACAGATTTCTGACTGCACAGGGTTTGGTGCATATTAACCCCCATATTATTCAAGGTCAATTGTGTTAAGTTCTAGTTCATTTTATAGATCTAATAGGAAAGGCCTGTCCACCCCTCCCTGTTTGTTGTTTTTAAGGGAAACTATTATGAGTTGTGACTGAAGGGTTGAGAGTTGAAATTTGCAAAATTGGAAGAAATTCTTTCTATTTGAACTTCAAACCACATCCCTACATGTCAGCAGCGTGCACTGTGAATTCTGGACATGACATCTCCCCCCACACCCCACCCCCTCACCCCTCCTCCCCACTTCCCTTCCTGCCATCTCTCTTGAAGTTGTTCAGAAGTGCAGTGCTTTGTGGGGAAAGATCTTCTTTCCGAAATAGAGGCATGTTGAACATATATTTTAGTTTGTGGATTAAGCATACCACACATGCCAACAGGGCACAGAAATAATAGATTCTCAAAAGCTTCTAATTGTATCTGAGCAACTGCCATGAATTGTCATCTGTGTGTTCTCCAGTCTACATTTGCCAGAGGTATTTGTGATAATGGTGGTTTTATTTCACTCAGAGGATTTTGTGTGTATGGGAAAAGGAGACTGTGAGTTTTAAATAACTCTTTCTGTTACTTTTTAAATTTTTTTCAGTGTCCTATGCTTTTTTCAGGTGTACTGTGTAGTGATTCGACATTTGTGTACATTACAAAGTGCCCACCATGATTAAGTGTAGTTACGATCTGTCACCATATAAAGTTATTATAATATTATTGACTGTGTTCTCCATAACTCTTATAAATGAATATTTATAATATTTGATACAATGTAACATTTTCTTACGATTACTAATATATGTAACATTTTTATTGCCGCCCTACTGATTTCCTTCTTCATGTGTATGTAGTGAAAAGGACCTTTGGTACACTGAGCTCCTGGAGGCAGAATTATGTATGAGAAAGTGCTACCTAGGAGTCAGGTCTGGGCTCAAAGTACTGCCTGATTTAATGTTTGATTAAGTGTTTGATTACAATTAAATGTTTGATTTAATGGCTTGAGCCTCCGTTTACTCATTTGTAAGGTAGATGTTAAAGATGTAAGAATGCCATGAGGTAATGTCCAGAATGTTCCGAGCCCTCAACAAATGTGCGTTCCTGCCCCTGTGGACTCTCCCTCCTGTGCCCAGTCCCTGGAATCCTGACAAGTCAGACACAGCTGGACCACGGGCAGGATAACCCTGACTGTCTCACCCTGGCCGTGTCTTAACTTTCCTATTTTTAGAATATGGAGGAAAGTGGAAAATGCTTCATTACTTTGCTCGACATTTCTTCGCTCCACTGTTGCCAGTGGGATTTGAGGATCAAGATGCGTTTTTCATCTATGGTGTGTCAGACCTTCACTCTGACTGTAAAGCGACGCTCACTGTAAGTTGCTTGGTTTTTTTTCTCTTTAAGATGGAGAGTTTTTGATTATTTCTTGAGTGATTTGGTTATAGCTCTTGCAGGAAAAAGAAAAGAGAAAAAAATGCTAGGCAAAAAGAGAGGGTAGAACCTCAAAGAAGTCCTGGGTCACCTGGGTGGCTCAGTTGGTTAAGCATCTGACTTCAGCTCGGGTCATGATCTCGCAGTTCGTGAGTTCGAGCCCCGCATTGGGCTCTGTGCTGACAGCTCAGAGCCTGGAGCCTGCTTCTGATTCTGTGTCTCCCTCTCTCTCTGCCCCTCCCCTACTCGTAATCTGTCTCTGTCTCTCAAAAATAAATAAACGTTAAAAAAATTTTGGGGCGCCTGGGTGGCGCAGTCGGTTAAGCGTCCGACTTCAGCCAGGTCACGATCTCACGGTCTGTGAGTTCGAGCCCCGCGTCGGGCTCTGGGCTGATGGCTCGGAGCCTGGAGCCTGTTTCCGCTTCTGTGTCTCCCTCTCTCTCTGCCCCTCCCCTGTTCATGCTCTGTCTCTCTCTGTCCCAAAAATAAATAAATGTTGAAAAAAAAAAATTAAAAAAAAAAAAATTTCTAAAAACAAAAAAATTAAAAAAAAAAAACAAAACCTCAAAGCAGTCCTGGGAGGCTGCAATTTGGAGGACACTGTGAATAGGTGCCAGTTATAGAATAACAACAATACACCAGGTCGTGTGTGTTCCATGGATTACTTTGTTTAATTCTCACAACCGCCTGTGAAGCCAGTGCTGTTATTATTCTCATTTTACATGTGGAGAAACAGAGCCTTCGAGAAGTCGAGTCACTTGCTCAGTTACATGGTAATACATAGTAGGACTGGTCGAACCCTGTTCAACCCAGGTTCATAGGCTCTTAACCAGTTCTGCTGTTCTGACTTGCATCTATTATTACTGGTGTTCTCTAAAAAAAACAAAACAAAACAAAAACAAAAACAAAAGCAAAAACAAAAAACACAATAGTAACCAAGTAACCAAGAATGTTTGGTTTTGCTCTGTCTTGTGTCTCCCTAGGTGAGAGTCCACACGTGGAATTCCCTGGAGCCCTTGTGCTCCTCTGAGACCGAGCGTTTTGTCATGGAAGCAGGGAAGGCCATTCTCCTATACAAGGAGCAGGTGCCTGCATTGTTGGGGCGTTGTGGGAACTGTACCCGGCAAAGCTGTGTGGTTTCCTTTTACCTTTCAACGGACAACCAACTTGTGAGCCCAACCAACCATCACTTCCTGTCTTCGCTGAATGAGACCGTGGGGCTCCAGAAGGCACACATCACCGTAAGTACCAGTGGCCTGGGGTCACGGTGGCCTTGCAGACCTGCCCTGCTTTGGGGGCAAGCACGCTGCATTCTGCATTTTGCAAAATTTCTCCTGGGTGCTGAGTTTACCTGGGACCTGGGAAAGGTCAGCCTCTTCCTACTAGAAGCAAAGACCAAATGACTTTTTTTCGAACTCAGTGTTTGTCAAAGTTTAGGGTTCCTGCCATCCTGCTATCCCTTGGCCCCTCCGGAGTGGGGCTGGAGCAGAGGGCAGGAAGCGGCACTGGGAGTCATCACCTCCGATGGCTCCTGCACTGACTGCATTCCAGGCTCTGTCCCCGGGGCTCTGTTGCCTCATTCCTGAAGTATGAAGTGCTGCATTGACACTGGAGCAAACCTGTGTAGAGGGGAGGAGTAACATGCTGCAGCCAGGAAGCCCCAGGAGAAGCATGCTGATTTTGAGTCTTTAAGTAGAATCTATGCATGTTTTTTAATGTTTAGTTTTGAGACACAGAGACAGAGCGTGAGCAGGGGAGGGGCAGAGAGAGCAGGAGACACAGAATCCAAAGCAGGCTTCAAGCTGTCAGCACGGAGCCTGACGCAGGGCTCGAACCCAGAAGCCCTGAGATCATGACCTGAGCTGAAGTTGGACGCTTAACCGACTGAGCCACCCAGGCGCCCCGAGTCTATCAATTTTTAAAAACACCCCTCAGGGGCACCTGGGTAGCTTATTTGGTTGAGCATCAGACTCTTGATTTTGGCTCAGGTCATAATCTCATGGTTCATGGGATCAAGCCCAACATCGACCTACCTAAGATTCTCTCTCCGTTTGCCCCTCCCCCCTCTCGAAAATAGAAAAAAGAAATTCCCTCTACTCTCTTTGATTTACTGCTTCAAAGTAGCTTAATCACCAAATCTATAATTGCCAAGAAGAAAATGGGATGACCAGGATGTGTTGTTATAAAAATTGTGCAGCTGGAGACGTTGGAATCTGTATAGTTGATTTAAAACCTTTCCTACCCTTTCCCCCACACACAGTGATTAAATGTATTCTTCAAGAAAGTTTTATTCTCTAATTTTAGTGAAGTTTAAGCTTGTTTTACACCTTTACTTAATTGAGAATGCTTTAGTGAGAGGGTTTTTTTGCATTTACTTAAGACTTTTTTTTTAAGAGAGAGAGAGAAATTGCATGAGCATGGTGGGGGGGGGGGGGGGGGGGGGGGGCGGATCTTAGCAGGCTCCACACTCAGTGTGGGGCCCAACGTGGGGCTTGATCTCATGACCATGAGATCACGACCTGAGCCGAAATGAAGAGTGGTTTCATTTCGGAGAAATGACTGAGCCGCTTGACTGAGCCACCCGGGCGTCACGCATTTACTTAATCATATAAAAACTCAGTCTTTGAACTGAAAACATATCTTTCTTAATAGCGAAATATTCACATAACGAAATGCAAATTATCTATAATAACTGATGTGGAACAGCTATGAAGGGAATTATATACTTTGATGTAGTTTCTTTCCAGAAAAAAAAATGAACAAAACCAAAAAATATGTAGCAGATAAATTTGCAATCTCTAGACTTAGGATTTTGAAATTTCTTTCTCTTTCCTAAGCCAGGCCTTCATGAGCCTGGGACAAGTGGGTGTGAGAGAAAAGTGGGACTTGTTCCTTTGTCCTACCTCATTTGGATTTCAATGAGACCTGCCCTTCCTAAAGGGATGTAATAATAGTAACCATAGCTAACATTCGCTGCCCGCTTAATATAGGCCAGACGCTTGGGTGCCCTATACCCAGTAGGATGCTGGGAAATTGTTTTCCATGGCTCCCTGAAGCCAGGGTACAAGCTCGAACCTGGACTCTGCAGTGAGATTGAGATGCGACTTCTGATTGGAAGAAGGCAATACGAGGGAGCAGGCACCAGTGTGGCTTCTGGCTTTGGCTTTGGAGCAGCAGTAGCCGGGGCCTCCTGGCAGCTGTGTGGGCCGGATGTGGGGCCAGCCGTGTGAATTGCATGCCTGGGACTGACTGCTTTAGGGTCTTCACCGAACAGCTGGGCGGCATGATTTGGGAATGTAACCTCTTGCTTCAGTCCTGAATCTCTGACCCTCCGAGAGATACCTAAAACATCTTAAGTTTCTTTTCTGTTTTCTCCAAAGTATGGTTTCTTGTTTATAACTCAGGACTCTGCATGATACGTAAGGCCAAAATGATATATAGTAAAAACAGTGCCCTGAAATTCTTCATGCCACATATAGTATGTAACGTCAGCCCTACCGTGTGGCACATGTGCATGTTGAGGAGTCATGTTTCATGTCAAATGCACAGCTTTAAATACCAGATCACACTCAGCTGCAGGCTCACATTGAGAACCTCACAAACCCCTACCCTCGGGGCACAGCCCAACCTGGCCTCACTTTAGCATGTGCTAATTGGCTAGTTCATGGCAGGACTGAAACTGCACTGTCCTTTGCTGATATTGTGTGGGGTTCACACATGTTAAACGTGCTAATGATGTGACTTTATGGGACCATGCAATGAAAGAGAGAAAACTTCAACGGTAGAGCTTTTGTAAGTGCCTGGCAGGCGGCTGTCTAGATTGCTGGATCTTTTCAGAAGACAAGCTTCATGGCTGTGCTCTGCAGCCAGCGCCGCATATATCCTGAGAAAGTCATTTCAGCTTCCCGGCCCTTATGCAAAAACGTTCCTCCCTTGATCCCCTGAGAAAAACTGTGAAGGACACAATGCTTTGAGCTTCTTGTGAACCACTCTCCTTAATAGTTAGAGACTGCATGTTTCTACACTTGGCTTGAGATTACAATTTGGTAATTTCCCACAGCCTTAAATAAATTTCCATGTTTTTTTTCTTAGTATCTGATACAGTGCATGGAATATAAGACTTTGGCAACTGCAGGACCAAAGTTGTAGCGAATGTGCTCCTTGATGGGCCACAGAAATGTTCCGATAGGTATTGTGTGTAGAATAGATAGATCTCCCCTCATCGTTCACTTAATTTATCTTTTTCTTTCAGGCCAACATCTCCCAGCAAGGTGACACATTTGTGTTTGATCTGGAAACCTCGGCTGTCGCTCCCTTTGTTTGGTTAGATGTAGGAAGCATCCCCGGGAGATTCAGTGACAATGGTTTCCTCATGACTGAAAAGACACGGACTATATTATTTTACCCTTGGAAACCCACCAGCAAGAGTGAATTGGAGCAATCTTTTCACGTGACTTCCCTGACTGATACTTACTGAGGGGTTACAGGTTGTATTTTCAGCGAACTCTGGAATAAAGCATTTCGAAGGCACCGGCCGAAGCTGAAGACAAGTTGAAGAGGCTGAGAAATGTGTCTGCTTGCGGCCACACATCTGATTCATCGCTCTGTGAAGACTTTGTACAGAGCATTCTTTCGGGAAAGGTTGTTTACTCAGGTGATATCCTCCAGCAAGGCTGTGCATCGGTGTTCCTCTGTGCCAGGACTGTAGTTTTATCCCTGCCCCCACAGCTTTAGCAAAGCCATGACCCAGTTATGACCCAGTTGTAACCCAGCCACCTCCTCCTACCCGGGAGAGGAAGTCCATACATAAAGTCCTCTCAGGGAATCGCAGGAACATGACCATTGCGGTATCTGTGGAAGGTTGTGAGGTCACGTAGGCCTCTCCTAGTTAGCTTTGAAAAATAATGAATAATCACAGTGAAGCTGCTTTGTTATTATTCCCTGAGGAAATGGAGGTTCAACAGTCACAACAGAGAGAGATTTCTGGGTAGTAGCCACGTTGTTGTTTTTGTTGCTGGAAAGTTTGGGGTGTTGACTGTCGCCATTTGATTACTTTTTTGGGTAGGGTTCTTTTTTCCTTTGTGGGTTTTGTTATAAAATATTGTTTTGACAATAACAGCTTCTTTTTTTCAAAGGCCATTTAGAGTGATTCTCCTTTGAAAAATAAGCTCACATTGAAATGGACATCACTGTGGTCACTCTGGAAACTTCTGCGTGTCATATGCTGTCACCTGTAATTATGTATGGGTTGTAGATGTGGCTAAATCCAATGAACTTTCCAATTCAAAGGCTGTGAGTTAGATTTATATTTGTTGACCCTGGCAACAAAGTGGTGTTTCTTTTAGCTTCGGTTTCAATCATTTTATATTAATATTGATTAATTGTAAGTTGCTGTAAATTTGTTTTATTGTACATGATCATGTTTATAAATTATATTGATAATGAAACAAATGGGTCAAAATGTTAATAGATGAGGTGTGTAGGAATTCTTTTGGACTGCTTTTGCAACCTTTCCATAAGTTTGAAACTACATCAAAAATTAAAAGTTACATAAATTGCACTGACAACATGATATTTCATCTGCGGCTTAATCATTCCATAAACATTCATTTGTGCCCAGTATTGTGCTGGGCATGAATTTCCCTTTAGCTCTCAGCAACTTTTTATTCTACTTGATAAACTGGCAGAGTTTAAAGAATCTAAATTAAGATGTCTGAAGGGTTTTCTCTGGGAAGAATCATGTAATTGGTTATGGAATGGACTGGCGGTGAGAGTCTGGCTTTAAAATCAAGACGAATTAGGGGTGCCTGGGTGGCTTAGTCGGTTTTGCCACTGACTTGGGCTCAGGTCATGATCTCACGGCTTGGCACAGGAGTTCGAGCCCCGTGTCAGGCTCTGCACTGACAGCTCGGGGGAGCTGGGAGCCTGCTTCAGATTCTGTGTCTCCCTCTCTCTGCTTCTCCCCCACTCGTGCTCTGCCTCTCTCTCTCAAAAATAAATAAACATTAAAAAAAATTAAATTAAAAAATAAAAATAATAAAATGAAGACTAATTAGATAATAGATTGGTTTTAAGATGTGAGAAGATTTAGGCCACAGTTCAGTGACTAAGAAGAAAATAAATGCAGACAACCTGGCCTCTCCTTCATTATCTAGGAGTCTCCTCATTTTATGTTGTTATGCCCAGAATTCGTGATCCCCAAAGACCACTAGGGAGCCGAGTCCGATGCAAAAGCAAAGAGCCTCTATTCGAGCTAGCTCGAGCTCAATCCCCTACCTGCACCGAGGCAGCGGTGAGATACCAGGGAAAGAGAGTGAGTTTCAAAAGGACAAAGGTTTTATTGGGGCCTGGGGGCAGTTGGTGAGGTAATGGCTATGGCCTCATCCGATTGGCTGGGGAAGGGTCCTGGGGAAGGGTCTGAGTCCTGTTAGGCAGGTGAGGGGGGGTTACTCAAGGGGAGGAGGTGTGGTCAAGGTGAAGGACACAGAACAAGATGGAGTCGGCTGACGTAGGCCCGCCCTTTCAATGTGTTATTTCAATATATATATAAAAAAAAGTCTTATGAAGGCCTGGATTTGGGGATGCAACTCAGAAACTTCTTACTTGATAAATATATAATTTTCTTGTCACTGTTGAAATTCTGTTTTATCAAACAGTTGCTGAAGGACAGGGACACTCTTCCGTATCAAACTAAAGAATTTTCTGGGCCGGGTGCTCTGTGAGGTAGGCTTTGAAATGCATGAGCCATAATTTACATCACAATTCTGCCCTTACTCACTCAATCAAGTTACTTAACTTCTGTGTTCAGTGTTCTTGTGGTGACATGGGAATAATTACATTCACCCTGTACCTTTGTTTTGAAGAATAAGTTTTAAATTTAGTTGGAGGGCGAGGCCCAGTGCTGGCAAGTAATGAGGGCTCTGTAAATGGAAGCACCATCCTGGGATGTGAGAGAAGGCAGGGTTTCCAGCCACACTGACATGGGTTGCAAACCCCAGGTTCTGAGGCCTAATGGTTGTATAACCTGGGGTTACCACTTCACCTGCTCTTTAGCTCATCTGTAAAATGCAGATAATCTCTAACCTTCAAAGGTAGTTCTGTGGACTAAACAACAGGAGCAAAATAAATGCTGAATAAATGGCGGTTGCGCTTTACTTTTTTTTAACATCGTAATCATTTTTACCCAATTAATACACAAGGCAAGAGTAAAACTGAAGCAAATAAAGGCAGATGTCTTCCAGATGTATTTTTAAGAGGGGAAACAGACATCAGAACAGAATGACTTTGTAAAGGAAGAAAAAATTAATGAACAGACATAAATATAAGCTGACAACTGTTGAAAGGAGAGAAATATGCTACATACACATCATTTCTGTAGGAGAACGGTAACATTGGAAACATTCTTCCACCTCATGTGTGGCCCTGTGGTTAGTCATTTCTGCCATCTTAATAGATTTTATTTTGCCACATTTACTGGATTAGAGTCTGATGTGCTCACTCTTGGCTTTGGGTTTGAGAAGACTTTTCTGTTAGTAGTTCTGCAAACATTAATAGAATGGAAGGATCCGGTCCTTCTGCTGCACTGGATGCAAAGCACATTCCGGAGAGTGTGAGATGAAGAGAGGTCGGTTCACAAGATTCCATCTTCTCGTCTGAGAACGAAGAGGACAATAAAAATGGTAATTTTCTCATTCACATTCACTGTAACTCTTCTTTATTTTTTTTCTTACTTGACTTTTCATTGTGAGGGGTTTTCAAACCATGGGAAGTCACTTGGAAAATAAATAGGAAGATTGTTTTCTCTGTTGGAATGAAAGTGAACTGGAGCGCAGGAGAAATAAAACTGTGTTTCCCACGCATTCCCAAAGTGACAGAGACCTAGACAGAAAGAGTGGTCTCTTGGGCTCTCAGAGATGAAACTTACTCCCCAACTTGGAAAAATTGTGGGAGAAAAACAAGTAGATATTATTTGTGCATGAAATCCAAAGCATTTCAAAATATGCCCAGAGTCTGCTTTGACGGTGAATGTAATCTTATCGGTTCAATAAGCACATAAAATCTAAAGGGCTGTGCAGAAAACGTATTTAATATTCTCAAGTGAATGAGGGAATTCTTGTTTTCTAATTGACTTATCAGAGGGCATGAACCCGTGTGATACTGTACAAACCCCTAAAAGTCACGGACAGATCCGGTATTAAGACACATCTGTGTTCTGACTCTAAGGACTATTTGACTTAAGAATGTATTCGTTCATTTAGCAAGCATTTATCGAGGAGCACTCTGAGCATCAGGCACTGTCCTTGTCCCTGGGGGGATTGCAATGAAAAAAGGCAGACCAGTTTCTGCCCTCCTGGGCTGTCCATTGTACAGGTGTCCTCGAAAACCAACCTCTGTGCTTCAGAGCCCAAATATAACGCACAGAGTTTGGGATAAAGGGGAACAATAGCCAGGCAAAGGGGGTTGCAGCAGGCTCTGGCCTTCAAAACCTGCAAGCCCCTCCACCCCCAGGAAAGGGCTGGGGGGTTTTATAGGGAAATACAGCATCCAGCCGGTTTCGACAGGAATTCTGTATGCTGCCAGCCTCCTTAGTCCAGTTAGTCGTTTTCAGGGTGGTATCAGGTTCCTAAAGCAAAAGGCTAAGCGGAAGGAGGGGAGCTTTGCAGATGAGAAGAAAAAGGTTACTTTATTTTATTATTATTACTTTGTCAGTGTATTAGGATTTATTTATTTATTATTTAAATAAAAGTTAGTTAACATATAGTAGGGGCACCTGAGTGACTCAGTTGCTTGAGCATCCGACTTCAGCTCAGGTCATGATCTCACGGTTGGTGAGTTTGAGCCCTGCATCAGGCTCTGTACTGGCAGCTCAGAGCCTGGATCCCGCTTGGGATTCTGTGTGTGTCTCTCCGCCCCTCCTCCTCTCACGCTCTGTCTCTCTGTGTCTCAAAAATGAATAAACATTAAAATAAATTTTCAAAAAAGTTAACATATAGCGTAATTGTGATCTCAGGAGTGAAATTTAGTGATTCATCACTTACATAAAATCAAGCTCTGCTGAAGCATTAGTGCAGCCATTTTGATTTTTGTTCAACTTCATGCTTTTAAGTGGTTTCAGGGGGAGACAGACAATAAGCAAGTAGACAAAGCTATTTCAGCTGGTGACAAGTCCTATAAGGTTACTGTGACAGTGATGGGAAAGCAATGTTAGATAAAGCCATCTTGCTCAACACTTTAGGAAAAATTTTTTGAAAGTTTATGATAAACAAATGAAAAAAAAGTTTTTCAACTGAGAAAAGAGTCTTAAAAGACATTACTGTAGGGATGCCTGGGTGGCTCTGTCGGTTAAGCATCCGACTTTTGATTTAGGCTCAGGTGATGATCTCATGGTTCATGGGTTCGAGGCCCGCATCAGGTTCTGTACTGGCAGCGAGGAGCCTGCTTGGGATTCTCTCTCTCTCTTTCTCTCGGTCCCTCCCT